CCCCAAAACCCCAAAACCCCAAAACCCCAAAACCCCTTTCAATATTTCAAAAATAGAAACTTGCATTTACATTAATTGCTTCAGGTGATCATCTGGTAATTTGAATGGCATCTCATCTGGGTCTTCCACTCCTTCGCTTGAGGAGAGAAGCTGGATTGATGTTTGCAGGTTCATAGTCTCATTTTTAGGCTGTAAGGCACTCCTATTGTGGATAGCTGGATCTCCAATGTCTTGAGAATACTTCGATTTCAACATCCTATTAACTCTTAAGGCATGTTGTTTGAAGTATTGATATCGACCGTTTTGTTCTTTCTTTGGAACTTTAAAGTAATTCTTGAAAAGTTTCAGACCTTTCCCCTTTTTACTTAGTTTTTCAAATGAACTATCAAATTCTTTATTTGAAGTCTTGCCTGAGCTTTCTCAAGGACTCATTCCTGGACTCGCTTAGGAGCTTGGGGTGTTGACAAATTTTACGATATCCTATTGACGCATCCACTGATTGATGGAGAAGGTTATTTCGATACTTTTTGTTATGCTTCTCTAATCGGCTGCTTGACGGGACTGGATGACCAGTGCTGTTCCTGTGGTGCTCTAAATTACTGTATCTCTGGATACTTGAATTACTATGCTTATTGAAAATTTACGCTTACAATTCTCTGGAGAGAGCAATTTTCTCGTTAAATTTAGGTTTTCCTGTATGAAATTCAATCATGTCTAGCATTATCTGAAAGGATTTCTCTCAATATTTGAAGATTCTTTTGGCTTGCTTGATATACATTTCTATTAGGTCTGGTATAAGGGCACCTCCTGGAGACTGATTAATCAACAAGATGTAGAACTTGTTCTTATAAATAGATACTTCAACGTGTCTTTCTCCAACTTTGGACCCAAAATTATGCTTCTTGCTATACAGAGGAATTCTGTTGTTGCTTAATGGCAAGGAGGGGAAATCAAATATTTTAACGTATTTAAGGTGATCATATTTACTAGTCCAATCATAGCCAGGATTCTCCTGCAATTCAGGGATCGGTAAACTGGCATCTTTCGACTTCAGAGCTTCACTCGAGATCCTAGTTACTTGATCATTCATGAAATAATCAATGTCTTTTTGTAGCTCGGTAGATGAAAGTACTTGAGACCTATCTACCGGATTATAATTAACAGAGTTTCTATGGCTTCATGAAAACCTTGAGATATTAGGCAATGTAGGATTTCTTTTGCTATTCAAGCCATCCTGGGACCTCTGCTCTGATTGAGATCGTTGATGGTCAATACTGGCATGCAATCTTGATGCAGGATGTGGATAATCTCCCATAAATTTGAGAAGTTTCTCTACCCCTTTTCTTTGCTTTTCAAAAGACTGCATGTCATAAATACTTTTCTTATCTCTAATGCGTTGGTATATTTTCTTGTTCTCTTTCTCAATTCTCCACTTCTCCTTCTCTCTAATGGCGATATTCAGACTTTTAGGAGTTTTAAACTTCTGATGTTTCTTGCTGATGCTCTATGGAATCAGCCGTTAGGAAAAGATCCTTAACTTTGTAGGCTAGCTTACCTTCTCATTGTGAGCAATATTTTTCATCTTTTCAAACAACCGTTGATTGTCTCTTTCAATTTCAGTGTATTTCTCTTCAAGCATCATTATTTTATTTTGGATTGGCTTTTGATCTAGGCTTTGACTTAAATGACTTAGGGACTAATGGGCTTAGCGTTGATCTTGAGAATAGTCGCCTTGTGCCTCCTGAAATTCTTTGACTGCCATTTTTGAGCAAGCAGTTTGGAGAAAGTGGGAATTTGCCTATCCATATTTTGTATTATATGATTTTTAGAATTAAGTTTGGGGTTTTGGGGTTTTGGGGTTTTGGGGTTTTGGGG